TCGATCGCCGCCTTAACCTCTCGAATGCCTCGAATATTGACGAAATTACGAATTTTTTTGTAAAGGGGCGCAAAATTCGAAAAACAAAAAGCGCCCTCTAGCGTCGAAACCGTAAATCTTTTATTAGAATTTTTTCTCGTTTTTGCAATCTCCGCGTCAAAACGCATAAGATGACGTCGAAAAAACGACGATTTTTGACAATTTTTTTTTTCGATTTTTTCGAAGGAAGGGGATAGTATGGAAATTTTTTCGTTTTTTAATTTTTGGGATAACTTTCGAAGTAGGACTCGTATTTCGACGAAACCTTTTGTAACGTGTCCTTTGAGGTAAAATGCAACGTCCGACGTGTCGATCGCTCGATTCGGGGACGTTTTTGAATTTTCGAGTTGCCCCCTCGGGAATATCGATTACGCGATAAATTTTTGGAAAATTTCTATTCGAAAGGTCGTCTCCGTACGTGGGCACTCCGGAACTCGATATTTTACGTCGGTCGGGGCCGTCGACGCGTCTCCGAGTTTCGTTTGGCACATCGAGACACGAAAAAAAACACGTCTTTCGGTCTCGGCGGCTGCGCCGCCTCGCCTCGCTTCTTTGTTCGATTCCGGAACGCACACCGATCGATACGGAAGAGACGCGGACGTAGAAAACCGCATCGTTTTGGTCCTCGGAGTTTCCGAATAACCTTTAAAATACGAAATTTACCGAAGAGAAGAGGGTGGGGTGGGGGGGGAGGGGGGGAAGTGTCGGACGTAAAGTCGGAGAATACCGATACGAGATCGACTTAAAAAACCGCATCGTTCTAACCCTCGCGGTTTTCGAACAGAGTACGTTTAAAGGTTTTTAGGGGGGAGGGGGGGATGGGAGGTTAACGGAGTGGTGCCGGGGTACGTAACGGACTTCGAAGAGAATACTCCGATCGAAGACTTGCCAAAAACTTACCTCCTCCGAACGAAAATTGACACTTCGCTCGGCTTCGGCGGCTGCGCCGCCTCGCCTCGCGGCTTTTCGCGATTCGCCGTCGATTCCCGAACGCACTCCGATCGATACGGGAGATCGACGTGGACGACCGTCTCGTTTTAAGAGTCGGCGTTCCCTAATAACCTTTAAAATTTGAAATTTACCGACGATATGGAGGGGGGGAGGGGGGAAATGTCGGACGTAAGGTCGGACGATGCCGATACGAGATCGACGCAACAAACCGCGTCGTTCTAACCCTCGCGGTTCCCGAACAAACGTCGAAAAGGCGAAGTGGTACGTTTGAAGGTCCGGGGGGGGTCGACGGAGGGGCGGCCGGGGTGCGAAAGGCGCGTCGAAGAAAAGACTCGATCGACTTTCCCAAAATTCGCCCTCTCCTATGCCGTTCGACCGTCGTAAATATTTTTTATCGACGATCATTCCGAATCTCGCGATCGGGTCCGAGTGTCGTTCGAAAATTCCTCCCTCCCGAACCCACCGGGAGAATTGGTCGTATGACGCGTCGTAATCCGTCCGACGTTCGGGTCCGCATTTGAGCGATCGTAAGTGTTTCTTAGGTCGTCTCGTTTCCGCGGCGCGAGGGATAAAGCGGAGCGACGTCGATAAGGGCAAACTTCGCGCCCCCCTCCCCCCCAAACGGCCCATAGTTTTTGAATGGGACCCCGTACGTCTCACGCGGGACGGTCGGGACTATCGATCGATCGCGTTTCGAGGGGGGGAAGTAGGGCTACTTTTCGAGCAATTTCGCTCTCTTTTCGCTCCCGTTTTCTCGTGCGCGTCCTCCCCCGCGGGGGGGTGTCGCGACTTTCGCGATCGAGTACCTCGAAAGCCTCGACCCTCCTACCCCCCCTATCCGCGAGCTCGATTTTTCCAGTTCGACGGGCGACCCTCGGCGAATTTTTCTTCGGAGGTGCGATTTTGGGGGGTGACAGCGGGGGGGTGAAGACGAATTTTCCCGGGGTAGCGGGGCATCGTAAAAATCGCGGTTTCGGAATTCGAGGCTCGTGTAAAAATTTCGTGAAAAAAGCTTGGGCCAATTTTAAATTATTTTCGAAAAGGTCGAATTTGAGTTGTTTCCTTATTGTAATTATAACTAGATCGGATTGGAGCTCGCGTCGCTCGCTCCTACCGATCACGGCGTTTTGTTATCACACGCCGTTTTTTGTGGTTTTCCGTTTGTAAATTTTTTTTTTAACTCGATCGTTGTGCGATTTTGTAGTTTGGGTTGTTTTTAATTGACGTCGGAATTTTTTAAAATGCGAAAAAGAAAGGAAAAGGATTTTGATTCGGCTCAAAAAAGCACCAATATATTGATTTTTTTTTAAATCAAACTCGGCGTATGTGTTTGTAAAAATGCTACGCATTTTAAGACTTCGCTAGAGTGAGTATATTTTGCAGAGATATCGCCAAAAAGGAGGATACGTTTTTTGGAACATCACCTATACAAAGTAAATTTTTTAAAATTTCGATTCAACTTGTAAAATCCAGATCCGCACATAATTGTACATAAGATTATTTAATTTTGATAACACTTTTTGGTTTTGAGGAGACATCCGCTCGGCTCCGGCGGCTTTGCCGCCTCGCCTCACTCTGATTCGTAACGGTGCATAGCTCGGCTTCGCCTCGCACTGTTCAGTGCTCAACAAAGATAATTTCTCAGTTTCAATTTTGGTGCGGTAAGAAAATGCCGAAACTAATGTCAGCGAATCAGTATTTTGTTATAGAACTACGTTTTCGCAAGGATCTCCGTTTTTTTATTAAGTTTAGATGAATGACGGGAAAGGTGGGCGCGTGTAGGGCCGTAAGTAAGCGTCGTTTGCCGCCGCGAACGGGGAAAGCCGGGTCTACGGGAGAGCCCTCGTGAAGCTCAACTCGCCTTCGGCTCGCTCGACATTGAGGGAGGAAAAATGCGAGCCGTTTTCGTCGCGAGAACGGCGAGCTCGAGTTATGCCGAGTCGAGAATCTTTGTTTGAATTTGTAAAAAAGTTAAAAAAAAATTCCTAAATCTACAAATAACCTAATGCCCCAAGCTAAGGGAGGGCCAAAGTGATGCCGAACTCGCCTTCGGCTCGCTCGGCATTGGTATACGAGGCGCGTGTGTTAAGAATCGAAGTCTTCGGTTACTTTACTTAGTTGGGGAAGGGTTATTAAGAATTTTTATTTCTAATAAAGTTAAAAAAAATATCTTAAACTTACAAATAACCTAATGTGCAAAGCTGCTTGGTGTCACATTTTGTTTAGCTTCATTTATAATTGTTGTTTGAATTTGTATTACGAAAAAAGTTTAAAAAAATTTCTTCAACATACAAATAACCTAATGTCCAACGCAGATTGATGTCACATTCGATTTAGCTTCATTTATAATTTTTGTTTGAATTTGTCTTTCAAAAAAGTTAAACAAAATTTTTAAAAATCTTCAAATAACCTAACGTCCCAAGCTGTTTGATGCCACACCTTTCATTTTCAGTTTTTTAAAGAAGTCTATATAAAATATGTAGGTATAAAAAACCTCGCATTGTTCAGTGTTCAACAACGACAATTTCTCAGTTTCAGTTTTGGCGTGGTAAGAACATGCTACTAAGCAGACTGATTTGATAATTTTTTTGAATTTGTGAGTAATATTTTTGTTTTTTTTTTGTGGAAACAACACCTATACAAAGTGATTTTTCTACTCAGCCTGTTTGTACACTCGGGGTTGTTTTAGCCTCCTGTAGAACAGGTTCATCCTCATCGGGAGAAGTTTCTTTACGATTTCTCCACGTACAGAGTCTACATGCTATAATAGAAATCCATGAAAATAATTGGATCATTTTGAGTGGTCGTGAGGAGTTTGTGTAGTATTCCTTATTTTATTTGTTGTTTATGAATGTATTAGGCATGGAAATATGATGATTTTTAAAATTGTTCACGATATCTAACACAATCCTTATAATATGTACAGGAAAGCATAAAAATTTTAAGACAAAGAAGTTTTTACAATTTTGTTGGAACCTATAGTGTTTCGTAGGTAGTAATTCACGTGCCTTTCCATAGGAGATTCTTTACAAATGGACTTCATCCTCAAGCAAGTATTGGATAACTTAAGGTGCTGTATATTACAGTATCGTGTCCTTCAATGGTAATAAGTATATTTGAAGTACGAGCTTTTATACCTTTTTATAATGATATCGTAGTTCGCTGTTTGGACCAAGTGGTAATAGGTGGTCGCTTTAATACTAGTAGACTATGTGGACATGTAGAAATAAAAGTGGAAGGTAACGAACTAAAACTAATCCTTCGCTACCTTCCTAAGCATGAATATTTCATGTGACGAAATGCTTTCGTTTCCGCTAGAATCTTGGACATACTTTTTGCTCTAACCGGAATATAAACTGATGAATAACCTCCTATAGGACTTCTTCTTGAAGAACACGGATAATTTGTTACATCAATAATAAATTTTCATACCATTTCTATCGTAAATGTCTTTATGCTACGTAGCAACATGCACATCGGCATGAATTTTTGGTCGACATCAAGTCGATTACTCGAAATTGTGCAAATGTAGGTTTGTTTACGATGACATTTTCATAACAACGATAAAACACGTTAAATTTCCTTAAAAATGGTGTTTTTTACATAAAATAGTAATGTCCCAGATTTTTTGACAGTTCCCGTGACAGTTGTATAGATGGCGCCATTTGAAAAAAATACATCTTCTGTATCGGCGCATGCCCAATATAACCGTTCAAATAATACCACATTTCAACCGCGTAGGTTCATTTGAACGTTGCGGCGGTTCCTATTTTCTTAGGAAGTAGTGCTTTTTTGCGCAACTTCCATTGGGGAGTATTCCCTGACGTGTACCACGGCGTACTGCGTTGAGGGGTGTACACGTAGTGTATAATACTTCCCTAACAACAACATAGTTCCCTTTCAGCTCATTTTTCGGATAGGGTGTTTTGTTTAGGTCATTTCCGCTGATAGTTCCGCTTTCTCCGCTCGTTCGAGGAAAGATAGTGTTTGGATGTTAGTTAGTTGGCTTAGGTTAGGGGGCTAATAAACCAATAAACCGAATGCTCCATTCTAAAAAACAGTTTTCATCAATCTGACAATAGAATCACATTTATACATACCTAGTCTAAGAATTTTAGCATTACGGGGGAACTCAGAGCCGCCCCCTTCAACTTCTTCGGTGGCCCCATACCGATGTCGAACTGAAGGTAACCTGAAATCCTATTAACAAAAGATTTTTTAATTTCATTTTTGCTAGGAATTTGTCACTTTACAAGATAAATTAAACGATAAAAGAGGGTAAAATGATCCCACGAAGATCCCAATTCCACGAGGTGGAAGAATGTCTTCGAAATCTAAAAAAATACGTGCGCCATAACTTGATCGTTTACCATAATTCACTTACCAATAAAATAAACAATTAAAAACAATATAAATGGACCGATGAACGTAAATGAAAAATTTACTAAACTTCACCCAAGACGAAACGTGATCGCAATGGAACCTGGAAATAACGTGGCGCCACCGTCGTAGAATGAACTACCTTCGCGACGGGGATCTAAATATCGACGTGACTCCCTAATTTTTATTAAATATAACCTCTCGGCACGGGATTAATGCGATTTCGATTTTCTTCGGAGAGGTCAATTTAAATAGAGTACTAATTATGCTAAATTTTTCCCATTGTAAGTATATAACTATGAATTATAGTTTAAAAATTATAAAAGAAAATTGGCACAGACGAACTAACGTATTTTTTACAAAAAAATTTCCAGAACCTTTATTTTTCAATCGATTCGGACGGTGAAAGGTGCATCTGATAGCTAATAATTCGAGCTAAATATTCCCCATTGAACGTACCCGTCTGGCAAGTCTCTTAAAAAAATTATTACAGAGTATATAGTTCAATGATTTATATAAAACATGACAGTACTATGAAGTTAGGTTATAAAAAATTACTGATATTCAGTTTTTATTTGTAAATTTTTTTAAGTTTGAAGCAAATTTGATCAAAATGGCGGATAGCCGGTTACTTTCTGTGGTGCTATACAGTGCGAACAGTGCTTTACTATGCCGCTTCAATAAATAATGACGTTAGTAAATTATTTGCCGCAACAGGCGCGGGGCACCAATACTAATTTATAACCTTAAACTTCAAAACAAATTAAACATTTGACATATGATTATATTTAACCTAAATAAAGATTTAATCACCTTGTAAGTTTCCAAATGATGTGAAATTATACGAATAGGAAAATTGCTACAACAATTGAAACAATTTTATTTCTTTTACAAATCGTTAATATTGAAGTAATTGGATAAATCACATGTTATAAACAACTGTTCGAAGATCTCGTCACCATAATTAAGACAGGGGGTTCACTCTTTTCTTTGTTTTCGAAGCCGACATGTAAGTGCCGTTGCATAATGCTTCAAACGGTAGCTTCTATACCTGCTCGTAATTCGGCAATGGTGTGTAAACGGTTTCGAATACGTTGACATCTAGTAAATTTGCATGCAATATTTTAGGACTTTGCAAGTCCAGACGATGAGTTCTTGTAACACGGTTACTTTAAAGGATAGAAGTACAATTTTCTCCAGGCAATAGTGTCACACGTTCCGTATGAGATATCCGTTAGTGGGACAAATTATCGCAGTTGCTTTTTTCGACTTTGTTCAAGACGAGCAAGAATATCTTTTACAAACGCCTTATTAGCAATCGCTAAGCGGCCAGGTGACTTCCCAGAAGCAAGACTTCCTGTATGTGAAACCGTTCAAGTAAACGACGAGCATTTCAGCGTATATTGTTGTAATCCTCGTCACGGTTGACATCCGTTTATCGAAACTCCTGTATACACAAACGTATCGAGTACTCTCAAACTTCACTTTCATCTTTAGTTCCATTACGGAAACAGAACTGCAAACGCATCTTATTCTCTTCTAAGAAGTAAAAGGCTTGTCGAAGTAAACCTATTGCCTATTACACGCCACAACTAAAAAAACGTTTGTTTGTAATTTACAAGTAATTTACCCACCTTGTAAATATTCGAAAGAAACTGGTAAAGAAACTGGTAGTCTTGAAAAAAGTCGTGTTGAAAGAAACGATAGTAATAAGAATCAGAAATTATAGTTTGTGAAATTATAGGTTATATTTTGTATTGGCTAAATATAGAAAGTACCGCAATCCATTTGGCTCGTGTGTTAAAGAGAGAAATCATAATTTTTGCCCAAAAAAAATTCTAGTAACTTTAATGTTGGGGATTGTATCACCTGTTTAGAGATGGGATTATATTTATATAAAACATGACAGTACTATGAAGTTAGGCTATAAAAAATTACTGATATTCAGTTTTTATTTTTAAATTTTTTTAAGTTGGCAGCAAATTTTCACCAAAATGGCGGATGATTGTGTTACTTTCTATATCTAGTGACTTTAGTATATAGGTGCACATACACGATACCTGGTTGCGGCAAATAATTACTATTGTCATATTTTATAAGAGCGGTGCAGCATATATTGATCTCTCAGTATGCGCACGTGTGTAAATATACGAGATATCGCGTTTTAAGTGTTTTCAATGGTGTCAAATTACAAATCGTTATATTTCCTTTATTTATAGTCCGAACTCGATAAATATTCAGTATTCAGAGGTTGGAGAAATTGAGGCACCCGTTTCCATCCTTTCGGCACTTCTATCTCCATTCCGAAATTCTGACCATCCCATCGGTTAGATTACATCGAGAGCTTTCCAAAGATACCTATAAAGACCCATCTACGACGCACCGTTCACGAGATATCGCGTTTTAAGTGTTTTCGGTGGTGTCAAATTACAAATTGCTATATCTCCGTTATTTACCGACCGATCTCGCTGAAATTTGGTATCGAGAGGTTTGGGGACCAGGGCCATTCGATTCCGTCATTTCCGAGCTGGTATCTTAGTTTCCAAATTTCGACCCTCCCATCGGTTAGATTAGGTCGAGAACTTTCTAAAGACACCCAGGAACCCCTATCTACGACGTTCCGTTTTCGAGATATCGCGATTTAAGTTTTTAATAAAAAATCCAAAAAACGGTTATTGCGTAGATCGTCTAGAAATGTCGCGAAACGCGTGATTCCGAAGTATCGAGGTCGCAGGTCGAAAGACGACAGAGATGCGTCGATATCTCGAAAAGGGGAGGGGATAGGAAAAAATTGAAAATCCCATTTCGAGCCCCCGGCCGGACGCAGCTACGGTTTAAATTTGGTCCAGATCGGCCGGTAAATAAGGGAGATATTAAGAGATGCGCGGCCCTTTAAAACGCATCCATGCGCGTGGACTTAGAAAAAAAAGGCACACCCCCGCCCCCCGAGCGACACGGGCCCCCCCCTTCGGCCACAGGCTGACGCCCGACGCCTACTGAAGACGCGGTCGAAATTTTTCCCGGTTTATACGTACAACTTCGGAGATCGATCGCGTACGAGTAGATACGAGATTGTATATATATAAATTGAGTATATATATATACTCGTTTGTGACAAAATTTTTTTTATCGACGTTTCGCGACCCGTTTGTTGTCGATGAGGGAAGGACACAATTTGGACTGTTGGCGACGGCGGCGTCGGGTGACGTCAACAGGCGTCGCCAAAATGCGAATCTCGGTAACGGAAAGTCGTACGAAGGCGTGTTAGGTATCGTTGGAAAGGTCTCGGCGGCGCGATTACGATAGAATAGGTTGAGCGCGTCTTCCCATCATATTTGACTTGGATGGTTCGGCCCATAGTTTTTGAATGGGACCCCGTACGTCTCACGCGGGACGGTCGGGACTATCGATCGATCGCGTTTCGAGGGGGGGAAGTAGGGCTACTTTTCGAGCAATTTCCCTCTCTTTCCGCTCCCGTTTTCTCGTGCGCGTCCTCCCCCGCGGGGGGGTGTCGCGACTTTCGCGATCGAGTACCTCGAAAGCCTCGACCCTCCTACCCCCCCTATCCGCGAGCTCGATTTTTCCAGTTCGACGGGCGACCCTCGGCGAATTTTTCTTCGGAGGTGCGATTTTGGGGGGTGACAGCGGGGGGGTGAAGGGAGATTTTGCGGAGGTAGCGGGGCATCGTAAAAATCGCGCATTCGGAATTCGAGGCTCGTGTAAAAATTTCGCGAAATTCTACTCGGCCGATTTAAAATTATTTTCGAAAAGGTCGAATTTGAGTTGTTTCCTTATTGTAATTATAACAATGCCTAGAAACGTACACATACACTGGGCTCTATAATTACATATACATATATATAAAAATGAATTTTTAGCATTTGAGGTACCTACCTTTCGTTGAACCTCGATCGCTTAGCTTAGACGTAGATCTTATTCGCGCAACCCGTTTATCGTCCACGACGTAAGGGTGAGATTTCGACGACGGCGACGCCGGCGGCGCCGGCGCCGCCGCAGCCGGCGCCGTCGGCGCGCGTCGTCGGTCGTCGCCAAAATGAGAATCTCGGTAACGAAAAGTCGTAGAAAGGCGTGCGAGGTATCGTCGGAAAGGTCTCGGCGGCGCGGTTAGGATGGGCCGTGTTAAGTTTGGGCGCCGGCGGCGCCGACGCCGGCGCGCGTCGTTGGGCGTCGCCGAAATGAGAATCTCGGTAACGAAAAGTCGTAGAAAGGCGTGCGAGGTATCGTCGGAAAGGTCTCGGCGGCGCGGTTAGGATGGGTCGTGTTAAGTTTGGGCGCCGGCGGCGCCGACGCCGGCGCGCGTCGTTGGGCGTCGCCGAAATCAGAATCTCGGTAACGAAAAGTCGTAGGAAGGCGTGCGAGGTATCGTTGGAAAGGTCTCGGCGGCGCGGTTAGGATGGGCCGTGTTAAGTTTCGGCGCCGGCGCGCGTCGTCGGGCGTCGCCGAAATGAGAATCTCGGTAACGAAAAGTCGTAGGAAGGCGTGCGAGGTATCGTCGGAAAGATCTCGGCGGCGCGGTTAGGATGGGTCGTGTTAAGTTTCGGCGCCGACGACGCCGACGCCGGCGCGCGTCGTCGGGCGTCGCCGAAATGAGAATCTCGGTAACGAAAAGTCGCAGGAAGGCGTACGAGGTATCGTCGGAAAGCTCTCGGCGGCGCGATTAGGATGGGCCGCGTTAACTTTCCAACTAACTGCAATCTAACCTAACTGCGCGCGTCGACCTAACCTAACCGAGCATTTCGACCTAACCTAACGTGTCTATCTAACCTAACCTAACTGCGCGCGTCGACCTAACCTAACTTAACCGCGATCTAACCTAACTGAGCATTTCGATCTAACCTAACACGTCGATCTAACCTAACCTAACCGCGCACGTCGACCTAACCTAACCTAACCTAACCTAACTACACATCGCGACCTTAGCTAACGCGTCTATCTAACCTAACCCAATTGCAATCTGACCTAATTGTGGGGGAAGGGGGGGGGAGGGGGAGGGGGAGGGGGTTGATTATTTGTGTAAAACCACCTTCGATTTCCCGATAAATAAGAAATATACGCGATTTTTTACAAATATCGACGTTCGAGTGCCCAAAAAAGTCACTCGGGGACCGCGTATTCTCGCCAAACTTTACCTCTCACCTAATCTCGTAGTGTAAAGTCGATTTCGGCAAAAAAAAAAAAAATTTAATTTTTCGTCAAAATTTTTTCGAAAATCGCCGTTTTCATATCGATTACGATTTAACGCACTTGCGATCCTATCGTGGGGACTCCGGGGCAAATTTATAGAAGGTCGCATCCAAAGTGATCGTTTAGTATCGAAAAGTCCCCGGAATTCCACCGGCAAGTGCCCGTTTTGCGCCCATTTTCGTGAGCAATT